TCCGGGCCAACCTCGCCCTCTTGCGCCTTCAGCCACCCCCACCCTCCCAGGTGGCCGCGCCTTCCGGCGCACCCCCTTCTTCCTCTATTCTTCCTTCCATGCAGGCTCGCTTCCCTCGCCCTGGACCCTACCAATCTCCATCCTACCTCCTCCACATCCCCTCGGTTGTTGCGACCTCTTCTACCGCTGTTCCCGTGCAGCCTGCCGCTGCTTCCCCCGCCGCTCCACCATGCGGCCCGGGCGTACAGTCAGCTACGGCTGCTACGCCTCCTCCTCCAGGACCTGCGCCGACTTATTCCGCCGTAGAGCAGTCCCCTGCTTCCCGTTCCCCTCGCCGCCAAAACGGTGGCCCACCACTCATCCGCTTGTCGGACATTCCCTTGTATGACGGTACAGGCACGCTCCAGCTCATCGGCGCCACACCCGACACGTGGGTGGGTTACCTCTCCACGCGCCTGCATGGTGCTCCTTTCGATGCCTGGGAGGATTTCTATGCTTACTCCCTGCGTGAGGGTCGGACTCTGACCTTCATGGATTTCCAGGCGTTCCTCGAGGATCACTTCGGAACCCAATATGACGTGACTGACGCCTTCGAGCGTGTCGTCACTACACGCTGGTCCGGCTCTGGTGGTGCTGCCGGCCTGGATCGCCACATCCAGGTTTTTCAGGACGCCCGCCTCGTTTGCGACGTGGCGTTCCTCCCCGAGGCTGCCCTTATCGATCGTTTCCTGGCCAGCCTTCCGCTCGAGTACCGCTCCGAGCTATGGCGGTACGAGTTCACATCGGCCCCACAGGCTTACGAGGCCGTCAGGGACCATCAGCGGATGCGAGCCTGTCTTCACCCCGCCTCCTCCTCCCAGCCCCAGCGCACGGGCTACGCCTCCTCCTCCTCTCACGGTACTTCCCAGCGCCGTTCCCCTTTCCGCGGTCGCCCCCGCCGTTCCACGCAGCAGGGCCACCACTTCTCGCGCCGCTTCAGTGCGCTGGAGTATGGTGAGCAGGATGCTGTTGCCCCACTGTCACCTGAGGGCGACCACAGCGACGACCTCGATCTCTGCGAGGCCGTCCACTATCACTTGGAGGACTCTACCCTCCCTGCAGCTGAGCGCCTTCAGCTCGCGCTCTCCGCCCTCTCTCGGGCACGCAGCCGCCCCGGTCACGCTGGCACGTCGCCCCCCGAGGTCCCTCAGGAGGACCTCCCTTAGGGCTTCGTCCCTCCTCGTGGTGTCCTTTCCCCTGAGGAGCGTGCGGCTATTCTAGGCCGGCGTGGGTGTTTGCGCTGCCGCTTGGACGATCATACCTCCTTGCGGTGCCCTTACACTACCGCTCTCGACCGCCACTACGCTGACCTTTCTCGTCAGCGTCGTGCTCAGTCCCCCCCCGACGCCTCACGTCCCTGCGGCGCCTCCTAGCCACGGTGCAGTGTACACCTGCGCCCTCCATAGTAGTGGGCTTCCCGACATCTCCGTCGCGGTTCGCCCCTCTCGCTATTGGAGTTGAGGTATCGCAGGACTCGACAGAGTGTACTCCGCCCTCTGTCGCAATACCGTCTGCGCCTCCGCAGACCACCGTCTCCCCTCCTTCCCCGCCGCGACTACCGACACGTTGAGTCATTCGCTCAGCCCGTTGCAGCGAGCAGCTTGCTACTCGCGAGGACGTTGTGTCCTCTCTTCTGGACTTGAGCATGCTCCAGGCTCGTCAGGAGCGACTCACCCTCCATGTCGCTGCACTGCGTCGCCTTCTCGCCATCCTCTCTGACCCTGATC